CACACACACACACACACACACACACACACACACACACACACACACACGGAACGCTGTCTTGAAAATATATACACACACACATATATATGTATGTGTATATACATATAGTCTTCTTCTGAAATCTAATCCCTGAGTGATGCGAATCTCTTTCCCTGCTGTATCATCTGGGGGCAGAGAGGCAGCACATGCAGCCCATTGTTCTGTGTGATGAACTTGTTTATTGACAACTGGCGCTGCTCAGTAGATGTGCTATTGGCCCTGATGGGCTTTGGTGTATAGACAGGTTTTTTTTCTGTTTTTTGGGGTTTTTTTTTTGGCATATTGCCAAATATTTAACACTCTATCTTCCTACCTATTTAACACCAAACTTTGTGAGCCAGTTGTTGTCTTAAATTCCCTTAGGATGACTTTACTTACTTTGAAGGACACTGGATATAGTATTTAAAATTAAATGAGTGCGTTTAGGAGCAGGGAGGCTTTATATCTTGATTTGACCCCATAGGTCTTTATTTTGTTCTTAATTCAAATTAATCATTCTTAAGTGACAAGGGTGATCAGTACTGACACCAAATATTGTAGCTTTGTCAACTTGATACACACTCAGACACACCTGGAAAGAGAGACTCTCAGCTGAGGGGCTGACCCTTTGGTATATCTGTAGGCCTTTTCTTGCCTGCTGATTGATGTAGGTACCCATCCCACTGTGGATGGTGTCATATATGGGCAGGAGGGCCTGAGCTGTAGAAGAGAGCAAGCTAAACAAGCCAGTAAACAACACTGCTCTATGGTCTCTGCTTTAATACCTGGCTCCAGGCTCCTGCCTTGATCTCCTGCCTGGCTTCCCTTCATGATGGAGATGTAACCTGTAGGCTGAAATGAACCCTTTCCTCCCCTAGTTGGTTTTGGTCCGTGTTTGATCACAGAAATAGGAAGCAAACTGAGACATCAGCCAGATCTCAAACCTGATTTTTAATGTTTGCAATTGTGCCTCGGTAAAAGTTCCATAAAGCACATGTTTGGACTTAGTTAATATTTTCTTCCAAGTCATGCTCTACACGATGTTCTTCATGTAAATTTATGTAAATAAATCGCCATGATGGGTGTTCAGAGTCTGTGAATAAGCCTAGGGTCAGAGAGGCTTTTATTAGAAAATTTAAATTATGGTGCTTAAGAACTCTTCAGTTGACGCGTCAGTGTAAACACAGACTAAGCTATAATCCAGAGAAACAGTAATTGCCATTTGACCGTGCATTAGAGTGGCTATAAAGATAGTAAAGTTTGTAGGAATTCACTAACTGAAAGAAATTACTTAGTCTTACTTGTATGGCACCGTACTATCTTCTGTAGAGATGTTTAAAAAGAAAAAAAAAACCACTTGTAATCCAAACAGCATTTTAAATCAAGTATAAATGTATCTTTCTTGTAATTTTTTTAATAGAAAATTATTCCTTGCCTGCTGCGTTTTTCAGTCCCTCAGTTTCTTAGTTTTTGGCACCATTGAAAGTGATCATCTGAGATGGGCACGAGCTACACAATGGACATTAAGCCAGCCATAGGTAGACAGTAAGACTCCATCTCAAAACCACATACATGAAGAAATAAAGCAAATAAAAAAAATGAAAGAGGTAACCAGGACTAGAAGAGGATGTGCTTAGTCTTCACAGTAGGATGTGGGTGTCAACGCATGTCTTTCCTTTAAAGAGAAAAGTCTGGACCAATCTGTGCCACTCATCTGGGAGACAGAGATGTAAGAAGTGCTCCGTGGTAGGAAGAATGCCATTAAGCCCCAGCATTGATGCTTTCACAGCTCACTGTGGTACTGAAGGTCAATCCGGGTATCAGCTATTCTGCCGATATAGAAGAACCGGCATAGTGGCTCACTATTACACATGAATGTTCTGCAACAGGCTGCACTTAGTCTCGGTGAGCTAAAAAAGAGCAAGTTTATGTGACTTGCCGTCCATTGTCTAAGTAGAAAGTGCTCTACGTGTTTGGCTTCACTGGTCTTCTATCAGGAATGTCAACACCTTATTACTTACTCTCAGAGCAGACTGGTTAAGAGAAATATTCAGAATTCTTGCCGAATATGGATTTGCTTATAAATATCCTTCTCCCTTACACCCCTTCTTCTTTCTTCTTTCATCATTCCTTTATCATTCATACATCTATTCTCTCACGCCTGTGATCAGACTTTTCCCTTGAGAAGTGGGTTTATTTTTCCTGGACTAGAATCTAGACTTGAATAATAATTTTGTTCCTATTGCAGGTGTCTTGGGCAAAGGCAGTCAGTGGAGAGTATGCAGCCTTTACACTATGCTGGGTCTCTAGACAGAGAGGTCTCATGCTACTGTTATTGTGTAATGGAATACAAACAGTGCATTTCAGTAGAATGAAGGCTTTTCTGACTTTCACACAGGGATATGATGACTTGAACACTGAATGAACAAGTAATGGTGCTCTTATTTTCTAACACTAGCTTCAAATTGTACAATAACAGTCATATTGATATTTAAACATTTTTTTCTGTTTATTTGGGGTATAATTGAACACAATGTCCTTGGCAAAACTGAATACTTGTGTTTCCTATTCAACTAGAGTCTTAAAATAGGAAATATTTCATTAAGAAAAGAAATGCATTTTTCCCTCTCAAGACTACGTGATTTTGAGAAGTGTTGCATAAACAGCGAGGATTCTATAAATACTCCGGTGGGACTGGTCCCTGCTGCCTCTCTTAATGCTTCTGCAAACACGGACAAGTTACACAACTCAGTTTCTTCATGTTCCTGTGTCAAATGGTGTTTGTGCATAACCCAGACATTAGACATTTGTTCCAAAGTTTGCAGAGATTAGATAAAATGCTTAGCACAATGCCTGCCTCCAAATAAGTGATAAATTAGTGTTTGCCTCTCTCACTATCACTACAGACCATCCAGGTGAACCTCACCGAACAGAAAATCATTACCCTTCTGAACCAAGACTGTGACACCATAGACAACACATTAGGACTTTTTCAAGAGTTAAAGCATTGCCCAGAAGTGTGACTGGACTCTGTCAGGTACACTGTTAAAGGAGGATTTGAGGATGAGAAGAACTCATTCTAATTGCTGATTCTTAACACAAAAATTTTGGGGCCCAACTAAAATCTTCCTTGGAAGTTTCACGTTTATAGACCATCATCCAACAGTGATGGTATCATAAGTCTTTTTTTTTTTTTTCTGAGGAGGAAGCGATCATTTTATAGTAGACTTGATTGGTAGAAGCAGTTTCTTGTCAAAAGCAATGCCTGGTTGGGTGTAATAGAACACTTATCTAGCATGTTTAAGACCCTATGATTCTTCCCCCAATTTGTTTTTTTTTTTAACCCCTTCGAGACAGTGTTTTTGTGTATCCCTGACTGTCCTGGAACTCATTTTGTAGATCAGGCTGGCCTTGAACTTACAGAGATCTGCTGCATGCCTCTGCCTCTGAGTACTGAATTAAAGTGCTTGATGGCCAAATTCTTTATAAGTGCTTCTTCATTTAGTTAGTTGGATGAAGTAGAAGTCTATGTGTTTAGATAGGTGAAATTGGTGTAATTTTCATAGTTGCAAATGAACCATGATTAATGCTGACTTAACAATGCTTATTTTAGACTGAACTGTGCTGGGAGCTGGGGACAGGAAGTAAACAAGAGCAGTGTCTTTCTTTGGGGAATTTATTACTGTATTGAATTAAAATGCAGCTGGGCCTTGGAGCTGTAAATGTGAAGTTGGAGGGAGAAGAGAGGCTTTCCTTTCTGCTAGACAGAGACAGAGAGTCTTCAAAGTGGTAAATCGTACCCCATGGGTATGGCTTAAAGAGATATTTATGCAAAAATAAAAATAGACTGATTTCCTTAGCATTTTAGATATTGCTATGATTTACATGCTTAAGATAAACAATTTTTGTTAAAGGATTTTGCTAACTTATAATGTTCAGAGTTTTCTTAAACCATATAGCAGAACCGAGTGAGTTCAGTGAGAACTGGTCTTAGATCTACCCATCTTTGATCATGGGTTGGGCTGAAATTTATCTTTGACGCTGGGGAAAATGAAAAGGCAGAAAAATCTAAAGTTCAAAAGGATGATTTCCAAGGTGAAATGTAATTTCTCAAGGCGGGGGTGCGGGGGGAGGTGTAAAGTGGAAGTTGACATCTGGGATGTGAAGGACAATCACCTGAGGTTAGCCCTTTTCTGGATGCAGCATCGTATTGGCCTTATCAGTCACACTCAGGAAACAATAAACATGCGTGCCCTTGTAAGCATTTTGTCATTCATCCTTTCACGCCTGTGTGTATCTTCTCCATTACTTGGAATGGATATGATTAAAACTTTTCACCTCCTTGCATGATTAAACTGTGGTGTGGAGCAGCTGCAGCAGAAGAATTCAGAGGAAGTTTGAGAGCTATAAAGGTCAAGTTGGTGTGGTTAGCACTGAAGCATCTGTATTTTGTTTCTTCTTTTCCCCCAACGCAGATTGTGTAGTTTCCCATTTAATTCTTATTTTCTTTAAATGGCAAATTCAGTTCTTAAATCATATGTTGTATAAACTAACCCTTTAAATATTTTTAGGTTTATTTTTATTCATGTTTGGAAGAGGCTGCCCTGAAGCCAGAAGGGGGTACCAGATCTTATGGAGCTGGAGGTACAGCTCATTATGGTGCTGTGAGCCAAACTTGGGTCTTCTAGAAGAGCAGCATGTGATCT